TGATGCGGCCTCAAAGAAATCAAATTTGACACCTCTGACCTACAAGGTCCCTTCCAACTCTCTTAATTTTTTTGTCCACCCACAGCAGAAACAATCAATGCTCTGCTCCAGGGGTGAAATGCTCCCAGTTTGGACTGGATCGCCCGATCTAGTAGCGATGGAGAACCCGTAACAAAAATCCCTGCCCCCTCCCCATGCTCAGCTGAGCTGCACGATCATCAGAGGCTTTTTTAAAAACTTTAAAAGCATTTTTTCTACAACCTCTTCGGCTGAAAAAAATGCTTTTAAAAGTAAAAAAAAGAGCCTCTGATGATCGCATAGCTCAGCTGGGATTGTCAGAGGCTTTTAAAAGCATTTTTTCTACAACCTCTTCAGCCGAAGAGGTTGTAGAAAAAATGCTTTTAAAAGGCTCTAAAGATCCCAGCTGAGTTGCCTGATCGTCAGAGGCTTTTTTTCTTTTAAAAGCAAAAAAAAAAAAATGCTTTTAAAAGCAAAAAAAGCCTCTGACGATCGAGGCAATTGCACTGACTGTGCCTGGGGAAAGATGCCCTTAAGAGATGTGATCTATGTTAGCAAAAGTGTAGTTCCAGTTCTTGAATCACCCTTTTCCATCCTGACCATGTCCTGTTTTTCTGCCTTCCTCCCAGCCTCTTTGAGCTGCGTGGAGACCAGAACCCCAATTTATGTGGCATTTTCTTTTTTAAAAGGATTGATGGGACTGGTTGACCTAGGAGATGGAAAGTTTTGAAATTGAGTAGCCTGACCCTGACTTGATGCAAAGGCAGGTAATATTTGTTTAGTGACCACAACTGGGACCTGCAACTTGGTCATAACACGATTGCTAAGTAAAACTGCGACTGTACTTATGATCTGACTTTGGCTTTCCCTTGCTTTATAGACCTGCGAAGGTTGCAAATGTGAGGATTGGTTGCAAAGTTATTTTTCCACCACTATGGCATTGTGGTCGCTAAATGAGGCAGCCACTAAATGAGGACTACCTGTAATTGAAAGTGTAAGCGAAAGGACTTGTCTTTTATAGTACTTCTGCAGCCTTCCAGGCAGGGAATTCTCTTCCATGTGGCTGCTCCTTCCAGGAACCTCACCTCCTCTCTTGGTCTCTTCAAACAATGTTCTTAAAGTAGTTTTCAGCTCCCACACTGAACTCCTTTCCCAGTCTCCAGTTCACCAATGTAATTTCTCTGGTGGCTGCACTGTTCTGGTTGACCACTAGGTGGCATCTGCAAAATGCACAAAATCTAATTCTTTGCTGCCATCCACGGATCTATAGGATGAACTGCTGATCCATCGTTTCAAAGACCAATAAGGTCAGACACTGGATAATATTATGGGAAAGGGGAAAAAAAAGTAGTGCATGGAGTAATTAGTGAGTCATGCATACTAAGAGAAGGAGACAGTGGTGTATATCAGTGGTGGGTTGCTCCCGGTTCTGTCCGGTTCTTCCGAACTGGTAGTAAAAGCGGCGGGAGGCTCCGCCCGGACGTCATAATGGATGATCTGCTCATGTGCAGAAGCTTCTGTGCATGCGCAGAAGTGTGCGTGCACACGTGAGCTAAGCAAGCATGCACACACACTCCCGTTGCAAACCGGTAGTAAAGGTAAATAGAACCAACCCCTGGTGTATCCTGTTAGGTGGGACTGAAACTTCAGACAAGGAAACCTCCCATCACAATGTCCTTTGCATGATAAAGATGTACCAGTTGCCCAGCATAAACCTGTGGATGATAAACCTTCATGGAAAGCATAATTCTTTACTGGTTTGGGGATTATGAAGCAGGTGCCGGGGGTTCATGCCTTAGATATTATTGTATGGTGAAGTGATTAATTTCTTCACCACTAAGAATTCAAAAGCAGCAGAGGCTGTGTTGGCACATCATTTCCCCAATTTCTGATTTTTCCCCAACACACTGAGTCATAAATGAACCCCATGGCCTCTGTCTGTAAGACTGAAATGAGATGTTTTGTTGTTCAGTGGGGTGGAAGGACATAGTTGTGTTCTCTAATTAGCATTGTGATGAGGTTGACATCTTAATTTTTTTCCAGACACAGGCAGCCCCAGGATCAAACTACACTTATTATGCTACCTCTCTGTTTCCATGCAAGTTTTCTTAATTTCAGAAGAGAACAAAATGTTCTTCCACCAGGGTTTAACTGTGCTTTATTGAATATACTGTTGGCATAAATCATGGTTTTGTGGTTTTATCAACAAGATTTGCTTAACATGCTAAGTTAAGAACAGACAAACCACAGTGTGGCTTAGCAGGGTTTGCTGCTGTTTGATATCTGAAGATCTGAGTTCGGGGACAGGATTTTCTTCATATTTTCCTAAAGCTAAAGTTTGTTTCGTTAGACAGCCACTTGAATGCATATTACTGCAATATTAGCATATTAGCTGCTAACATTGTTAATCATTGTCTTATATACAGCAAATTGTCTTTAAATTTACAGTTTTTATTTTTAAAAAAGGAATTTAAAAACATGAAACAGAAACAAAGAGCCAACAAACAAAAAGTGAGGTATTTATAAACCACTCTCATGTCCCTAAAATAAGGTTGCTTGATTTTGCTAGAATAAACCAAGGCTTGGGGCATTTGATGCAATAAGTATTCAAAACGTTAAATGAACAAATAATATAGCAAGCTAGGGGTCCTTGGTGCTCTCTGAGCTTACTTATTTTTTTTGCAGATGTTTTATTACCCAAACTAGATCACATCATTAGTGTTAGTGATGATGATGATGTTACCTAGTTTAGGTAATGAAATGTCTGTGAGAAAACAAGCAAGCTCAGAGAGCACCAATGTCAGCCCTGAGCTACAAATATTCTCCTTTATTAGTAATATAGCAAGTATTACTAAAACAGAAACGTGACTTGGTTGTGGCAGTAAGAAAATTCAAATGGCATACTTTGCTTAATTAAAATACTACATAATACATTAAGTATTTATATAATACATTAAATATATGTGTTTTTCTTCTAGCCAGGTTTTCCCTACGTAACCATAAGGTTGGCTAGAAGAAAAACACACATAAACCCTACGAAGAAGTAAGAAAATTGATACATTATATATATATATATAATATATATATATATATATATATATATATATATATATATATATATATATATATATATATATATATATATATATATATACACACACAAGTTATGTATATATATTTATATATATACATTAAGTATTTAAATATCATGTAAAATATGGGAAAGAATTCCTACTGGATAATTGAGGTGTTCATAATGGGGATTCTGTTAGCTTGGAATTTCAAAATTTAAAACTTCCAAAGAATAAATTAAAGGCAGCAAATCTATGGAGGGTTTCAGCATCTCTATGATTTTAACTCAAATACTTTCCTACAGTTCCCCACCATCTTTCTCAGTAACTGGTTCCACTGTCAAAAAGTTTCTTATTGTTAGAAACTTCTTCTATCATTCAAACACCCTATGCATCTTTTCATCGCTACTCATGTACACATTATGTTACATATTGAACTAACACAAGCAGCTGTGCTTGTCGGTTAAATCAAAACAACAGTTTTCCACACTTTAATTTATTACAGCACATAGTAGAATTTTAGCATTTGTTGAACTGGTGGTAGTTCATGAAATCTTGTGATATATAGTACATTTGTTAATCTAAAAGGTCCCATAAAACTCTTTTATTAAATTCAGAGAAGTAGCAGTATACATTACACTGAATCCATAGGTTGTAAATACAGAAAATGCATCTGTGAATAGTAATTTATTCAGCATCTACTATGTCTTTTATTTTAATATTGAGAAAATATTTCACAATCTGGTGTTCTGCTGCCATCTTGTGGCAATTGTGTGTTGATTTTTTTTTTAGAGTTACCTGTTAACATTTTCCCCTGAATCACACATAATAACCCTTTCCAGATGAAACTATAGATCCAAGAATGGTCTAGAAAGATATCCATGACACCATCACTGGACATGTACAATTTCACTGGATCTCAGTTTCATTTAATGTTACAGTTTAGTTGCACCTTACAGTGTGCAACTAAAAATAGAAAAAAAGGGCCAGTTTGGTGTAGTGGTTAACCTGTAGGCCTAGAAACCAGGAGACTGGGAGTTCTACTATCCTACCTTAGGCATGGAAAAACTGGCTGGGTGTCTTTGAGCCATCTCTCTTAGTCCAACTCACCTCATGGGGTTGTTGTAGAGCAGGGATGTCAAACTCAATCCCATTGCGGGCCATATCAGGATTTTGTTTGCCCTTGGGGGGCTGGAGTGGGTGTGGCCTGGTCATCGTGGCCAACTGGATGAGTGTGGGTGGGGTAGGGTGGGTTGAGGCCAGGGTGGCACAGACCAGTCCCTTGCTATCTCCAGAACAACCCCGCAGGACAACTCTGGGCCTATCGTGTTTGACATGTCTGCATGTAGAGAAAAAGGATGAGGAAGGAATATTGGTATGTTTGCTACTGTTAGCTGTACATGAAAAAAAAAAAAGGCGGGACAAAAATCTAAAAAGAAATACTAAAGCAAATAGAATCAGAAATCTGGCATTGTTGAACACATGCAGGAGTGTAGGGTATGGAAGGTGGGGTCATTTTTCCTTGATGGATCTGCAGTTGTATCTGGATGAACCCTGTCATTACTTTGGTGATTATTTTTTCTCTCCTTTCTCTGCCCCCAACACACAAACATATACAAATGTAAGAGCTGGAAAAGGCCATTTAATCCAACCCTTCAAGATACATCTCCAAATAAAGTGACCCCAATAGACAGCTGTCTAGCTTCCCCCGTGAAGTCATATCCAGGAGAAGGAGAGCATAATATCTTTCTCAGTTACTGGTTCCATTGTCATACTGTTCTTATTGTCAGAAACCTTTTCCAACATTCAAAGATGTTTTCCCCCTTCACTCATGTACATTACATATTACACATTACATATTGATGTTGAAAAGTTCTATTCTAAAAAGTGACAGTATACTGTTTTGGGTGTTCTGAAAAATCACAATATAATGGCAAACTTATTTCTGAGGTTGCACCATTTCAGTATCATTTCAAAAAGATTCCATATGCCAAATTTAGCTATTAGACCTCCATTGTGTTCAAAATTCCTATAATTGAAGAATGGATGTAAACAGATTTCTACCATAGGGTGCCCATTTTCACAATGCTATCTCTTATTCTTGGAGCAGATGCATTGGCATGAATTGGAATAACCTATTTTAACATTACAAGCCAGTATTTCTCAATCTCAGCAACTATAAAATGTGTGGATCCCAGCCGGCATCATGGCTTGGGAATTCTGGGAAATTAAGTCCACACATCTGAAAGTTGCACTAGTGAAACACTAGTATGGAATCTGGCTCTTCTTGCCCGAATAATTGTTAGGCTTGAGCATTCACATATTAACAATGATTCAAACCTTTCTTCCCTGAATGTATGTTTGTTTGTTAAATAAAGAGACTACACAGCCTATAACAGCATGGATATGGTTTCACCAGGACTCTGCAAATCAAGAATTTGGTCCAGTTAAAAATAAGCATTAGATAAATGGGTTCTAAGGAGAAACTCACAGGAAGGAATGGAAATAATTTATAAAATATTTTCCAACTACTAGGTTCATGCCACTTACTGGAGGATCTGAGTGCCTCTAATTGAAAATACTTATATATTGCCTTTGCTACTACACTTCAGTCCTTCACTAGCAATTTGAAGATAATCTGTGAACTTCTTTAAATTTGTTAATCTCAAAGAGCAAAGCATGTTTTTGAGTCATAAAAAGAAAAAAAACCTCCTTGGGATTTTTTTTTTTATCTTCCTATAAAAGGGACATAAAACTGTTTTCTCCCTCACTATCTATATGTTTGCCACACCTTCTGTGCATTTGTTCAGGCCTTTATATGGAAAATCCTATGAGAAAGCACTTGCTAAGCCACCAACCTACCTTCCCCCAATTAGTCAAGATTAAGAGAGATGGGAAAACTTAATACCTGTGGCACTATGTTCAAAAGGTCAGTAGAGAAAATCAGTTATGGGAAAGAAGATTTGTTTAACATAGCCTCAAAATATGCAGAAAATGGTAGAAAGGACATATTTTTAGGCTGAAACAGATTCAAATAATACTTACAGGATGGCAGGAGGTCTATGTTCCAATTCTAGATGCAATATCTGAAACTAACCCTGAAATGTTGGACTCTTCTGATACCCGTGTGCACCCTGTCAGCCAAAAGCTCTTTTACCCAGAGAACTCCTTCCTTATGCACATATCCACTGTGGGCCGGAAATCTTCCCCAGAAAGGGAGAGAGAGCGAGAGAGCGAGAGAGAGAAGGAGGACGAGAAACTGACTATGTCTACTCCCAGCAGACACAGGAAGTAGTTTTGGAGTATTCAGAACAAGGCAGGCAGCCCAGGTCACAACAGTCAGTAAGTCTGGGGCGACAATATAAAAAGCCGGTCCTCCTCCTTACGGATCCACTTCATCAGCTTGTTGACAGCGCTGACAGCTGCTGCTTTGGTACCCAGGGGGGTGAAGCACACGTAGAGTTCAAAAGCACTGGTCACCTGGAAAAAGTTTAAATTTCTGTTACAATATGCAATCAGAGCAAAGCAGTTCCTCTCGTGTTACTTGTCCATGGAGATTCTCAGTCATCCAGGTCATGGCTGTCCCAAAGGTGCTTTTTCAAGAGGCAGCTGGACTTTCTGGTTTTTCTCTGAAGACGTTGAAGAAGCTGAAGAAGCTTCTTGGATGAGAAGCGAAACGTCTCCAAAGAAAAACCAGAAAGTCCAGTTGCCTCTTGAAAAAGCACCTTTGGGACTCTCATGTTACTGTTGACATGTAAAGCAAATTGCCCCTATTGTTTTTATTACATACAGATAATTGTTGCCCTGTTTCATTGGGCCATTTGCTGTAAGTGAAGAAGTGTGCAAGGTTTCAGTTGTACTAATACATTAATATATCTTCCAGGTAATAAAGTTACCTGGGACTAGGTCCTGCTTTTACTACAATTTTTCTAGAAGCTGCAGTAATGAAATAAATTCTTACCCAGGCCAGGAGATTTTCATTGGATCCAATATAATAGATGTTATTGAGAGGACGGGTGGAATTGTGAGCTCGGCTATGCAAGTACTGATACAATTCCAGGAGTCTTTCCTTTTCTTCCTCAGTGATGTAGGGAGCTTCAATCTCTGGGCTGGAAAAAACACACTTTCATTGAATAATCCTTTTTGTCATAAAGGTAAATTAAATAACTAGGTTTTTTTGCCTAAGAGAAAAAAATTCTCAGTTCAGCAAAGTTTACAGCCAGTGATTTTACTAAATAATGTTCCCTGATCCCAATTTTGGGATGATCTACCATTAAAACAGAAACTTTAAATATTAGAGCTGAAATTTTATCAATCAGATACTTTTGAGAATTTGATCAGGACCTTCTTTAGACTTAGTCATTCTAGGGTCACATACAGTATGTCTCTCAAAGCCTAAGGTAGAGAACCTGTCTAAAAGTGGTTGCCATTTTTTATTTTTATTTTTTTTAAAATGTCAGTACGATTATACTTATAAGCTATAATGACAAATTCTTGATATTCTATTATTTATATACCTTAAGAGTATATAAGGAAAAGAAAAAAGAAGATAGTCTATCAATATCAAGGGCCTTGGTAGTACAGTGGTCTAAAGCACCCTGTTATTAAGACCAGCTGCCTGCAATTACCAGGCTCAAGGTTGACTCAGCCTTCCATCCTTTCTAAGGTAGGTAAATTGAGGACCCAGTTTGTGGGGGCAATAAGCTGACTTTGTATAAATATACAAAAGTATGAAGGCTATTGCTTAGCGCATTGTAAGCCGCCCTGAGTCTTCGGAGAAGGGCGGCATATAAATCAAATTAAAAAAAAATAGTTATAATTTTGGATGTCGATGTTATTATCTAGCATTAAAATTATTTGATCGTTTCAATTCAAAGTCAAGGATAACATATGCAAAGAAAAAAAAATAACACTGTAACTTGCATCAAGGTATTTGTTATATAATAAAGATTTTGAACTTTTGTGAGTTTTTTGTGTACCCAAATTGTTGTTTTGATATCGTAGAAGGAAATTAAATTCTCCCTGATCTTGCCTGGTTCTTTCTCTGGCTCTTATTTACTTCTTGTGTGGACCTCAGCCCAACAAAAGTAAAGTATAGCCTGTGACCCGACAAACCTGGACACTTCTTTGCATAAACTGGATATAGATATTTGTACACAGATGGTCCATAGGTGGAACCAGAGTGCACTCTTTTCTTGTCTGTAACACTCTTTTTTTTTTGTTTCATCCAAGAAGATACTGCTAGACTGGAAGGACAGATTTGATAATTATCTCCCATGTCAGTTCAGGAAAAGGATTCTACAAACAATATTTTCGAAGTGCATCCACAGTACTTACCTATCTCCTTACAATTAATTTATAGTGTAATTTGGATTGGACTCTCGAGGATATAAAATGTCTCTTGAAAGTGATTAGACTATTCGACCATGGTATCATGCTGCACCGGTTGGAAGAGTTGGGTGGGAGGCACTGTGTTGCGGTGGTTCTCCTCCTTTCTCTCTGACCGGTCGCAGTCTGTGTTGACAGGGGGACAGAGGTCGACCCCGAGGCCCCTCATATGTGGGGTGCCGCAAGGGTCGGTCTCTCGCCTCTCCTGTTCAACATTTATGTGAAGCCGCTGGCGAGATCATCCGTGGTTTCGGGTGGAGTACCATCAGTACGCTGACGACACCCAGCTGTACATCTCCACCCCGGATCACCCCAACGATGCCCTTGAAGTGATGTCCCGGTGCCTGGAGGCCGTACGGATCTGGATGGAGGAACAGCTCAGGCTCAACCCATCCAAGACTGAGTGGCTGTGGTTTCCGACGTCCCGATATAGTCAGTTGACGCCATCACTGACTATTGGGGTGAATCATTGGCCCCCACGGAGAGGGCTCGCAACTTGGGCGTCCTCCTGGACTCACGGCTGTCTTTAGAAGAGCACTTGACGGCCGTGACCGGGAGGATTTTTCATCAGGTTCGCCTGATTCGCCAGTTGCGTCCCTTTCTGGATCGGGACTCTTTACGCACGGTCACTCATGCCCTTGTCACCTCCCGCCTACTATTGCAACTCTCTACATGGGGCTCCCCTTGAGGAGCACCCGGAGGCTCCAACTGGCGCAGAGTGCGGCCGCGCGGGTGGTAATGGGAGCGACATGGCGTTCCCATGTAACACCTCTCCTGCGCGAGCTGCACTGGCTCCCGGTGGTCTTCCGGGTGCGCTTCAAGGTTTTGGTTACCACCTTTAAAGCGCTCCATGGCTTAGGACCCGGTACTTGCGGGACCGCCTACTACCACCAATAGCCTCCCACCGGCCGTACGCTCCCATAGAGAGGGGCTCCTCCGGGTGCCGTCAGCCAAACAATGCCGACTGGCGGCCCCCAGGGGAGAGCCTTCTCTGTGGGGGCACCTACTATCTGGAACGAGCTCCCCCAGAGATACGGAGGATCCCGGATCTGCGCACCTTCCGCCGCGCCTTAAAGACCTTACTATTTCACCAGGCCGGCCTGGCCTAATTTTCCCCTCTTTTATAAAAGATTTTTAAAATTTTAAATATTTTTTAGTATTTATATATTCAATTTTAAATTGGTTTTAAAAGTTTGGGGTTTTAAATTTGTCGGGGCCAAAATTATTTAATTTGATTTTATTCTATTTTTTAAATTTTGTATTGTATGTGTTTTTATTGTTTGGCTGTGCACCGCCCTGAGTCCTTCGGGAGTAGGGCGGTATAGAAATCTAATAAATAAATAAATAAATAAATAAATAATTCAACTAGACAACAAACTCTATGGCAAAACTAAATTCTTAGGTGCTGCTTTTCTATAGGATTATGCAACCACATTGTCTTTCTCATTTGTAGTACCATCTGACTACCTATGTTAACTTTTCATTGCTGTTCACTAAAGTAGCTATATAATGACATAAGTATCCATGATTTGATGGCCATGAGGTTTTGAAATCTGGCCAGCGTAAAACACCAACAAATTATTAGGAGGATTGTTCAAATACCTATAACTCAAAAGACGGAGTTGATTTTTGTTTCCTGGACAGATATTGTGCATGTCAATTTGTAATTTAATCTGTTTTATTAATTCAGTAGGAGCTTGATGTCCCAAGACTAACTATGGATGCCAAACTCCTGAAATAGACTATCCAACACAGACTAAATTGAACTGATCAATGCAGATTAAATCAATCCCATCTATCCTTGCAGAGTACTAGAGAGAAGCTGGAAGATGGGTGTTGCCCAGAATGGACTCTCACCTGGTAAAAAGTCCTGAACTCTTAGATTTGTAGATGAAATGTCGAAGGTCTGGAATTCCCACCTGGGAGACACTGTAGAAAGGAGTACGCACTGCTTCCAAGAGAGCATGATGAACACCGCGCTTCTTTAGGCGTTCTTGGAACTTTTGCTTGCAGTGAGATACAGTAAAGAAGTCCTCACGATCAGTAGAAATCAGGACAAGGCACAAGTCAATATTTGGTTCCAAATAAGAAATGTGAGCGTGGAAGAAACCATTGGAATTGAACTTGGGAAGGCATATTGGAGTCCAACCTTCTCCTTCTCTAAATGAGGAGGATGAGCTAATGAGATTAAAGAGTAAATGGAGATCAATTGGATGAAGGAATTGGTCCCTTTTCCTCACAAGTGATACCAATTGGTTTTTTGATAATAAGATGGCAAATACCAGGCTTTTAGCTTTGGCTTGTTGAAGGCAAGTACTCACCACATCCCTGACTCCGGCAGCCATAGGCAGGCAACGTGCTGCCCCCATGAGAAAACTGGGGTCTCTAGCCATCAGGTCTACCAAGTTGTCAGTTATACGCTCAGAGCCTGCTAACAGTCTCCTTAGATCATAGTTCTGCTTCTGTTGGAATATCCGGTTAAGCTGAGTCAATGTCAAGAGACTGACTATCTGGTAATAGATATAAAGGAGTTCTTGAGCAATTTCTTGCTCTGACTGTCGAGTCTGAGCCACTGCAACAAGCACCAAGGGACTCTTGCGCACAAAGACCACCTTGTATCCATCTGGCAAAGAGTCAAAATGGAGAGGGAGAGAATGAGAGAAAGTGCGTCAATATTTTGAGCTACAGTGGTAACCCTAAGGCCCTTTTAAAAATAGTTTTTACTTCAGTGAGGGTTACTCTTGGGAATTGCCATCTTCTGATAATGATCGGTCTTTGCATGCAAGGGATGTTTTATTAATCTCTACCTGCAATCTAAAATGGTATTACAAACTATAGGTTTAGTACTTCTATGAGCAGTAATGAGACTTAATTAAAATTATTCTTAGGTTTTAAAAGTTTTTACTTAAGAAGTTTTGATTAATTCTCTTCCACCTATAGGTTGGACACTAGCATCCTTTTTTTAAAAATTAAATTAAATTAAATCTGAGTCTCCCGAAGGACTTAGGGCGGTGTACAGCCAGAAATAAAACCACGACAATAGAAAAATTAAAAACAAGTTAAAACAATTAAATCAATTGGCCGAAAATTCTAATAAAACAACACATTAAAAATAGTAAAAATATTATTATTATTTAGGCCAGCCCGGCTTGTTGGAATAGTAATGTTTTTAGGGCACGGCGAAAGGTACGCAGGTCGGTAATCCTACGACTCTCGGGGGGGGCAGCTCATTCCAGAGGGTAGAGGCCCCCACAGAGAATGCTCTCCCCCTGGGGGTCATCAGCCGGCATTGTCTAGCTGATGGCACCCGGAGGAGCCCCTCTCTGTGGGAGCATACTGGTCGATGGGAGGCTATCGGTGGCAGAAGGCGGTCTCATAGATACCCAGAGCCCATGCCATGGAGCACTTTAAAGGTGGCAACCAACACCTTGAATCGCACCCGGAAGACCACAGGGAGCCAGTGCAGCTCGTGCAAGAGCGGTGTTACATGGGAGCATCGGGTCGCTCCCATAATTACCTGCATGGCTGCATTCTGGACCAGTTGGAGCCTCCAAGTGCTCTTCAAGGGGAGCCCCGTGTAGCGAGCGTTACAATAGTCCAGATGGGAAGTGACGAGGGCGTGAGTGACTGTGCGTAAGGAGTCCCGATCCAGAAAGGGACGCAACTGGTAAATCAGGCGAACCTGATAAAAAGCCCCTCTGGCCACAGCCGTCAGATGGTCTTCTAAGGACAGCTGTGAGTCCCAAGTTGCAAGCCCTCTCTGAGGGGGTCAAGATCTCACCCCCAATAGTCATTGATGGGGTTAACTGACTATGACAGGACGCCAGAAATCACAGCCACTCAGTCTTGGAAGGGTTAAGTCTGAGCTTGTTCCTCCCCATCCAGATCCGTACGGCTTCCAGGCACCGGGACATCACTTCAAGGGCATAATTGGGGTGGCCCGGGGTGGAAATGTACAGCTGAGTGTCATCAGCGTACTGATGGAAATCCACCCCGAAGCCACGGATGATCTCACCCAGTGACTTCACATAAATGTTGAACAGGAGGGGCGAGAGGACCGACCCCTGTGGCACCCCACAGACTAGGCGCCTTGGGGTCGACCTCTGCCCACCTGCCAACACAGACTGCGTATGGCCGGAGAGGAAGGAGGCGAACCACCGCATAATGGTGCCCCCCATTCCTAACCCCTCCAGGCGGCGCAGCATGATACCATGGTCGATGGTATCAAAAGCCACTGAGAGATCTAACATGGCCAGGACAGAGGAACAGCCCCTGTCCTGAGCCCTCCAGAGATCATCGACCAATATGACCAATGAAACCCGACTGGAACGGATCCAGATAATCTGCTTCATCCAGGTGCTGAGGAAGCTGTCGTGCCACCACACTCTCAACAACCTTCGTCACAAAACGAAGGTTGGAGACAGGACGATAATTTGATAAAACAGCCGGGTCCAGGGAAGGCTTCTTGAGGAGGGGCCTCACCACCGCCTCTTTCAAAATGGCAGGAAAGAAACCCTCACTCAAAGAAGCATTAACAATCCCTTGGAGCCAGCCTTGTGTAACCTCCCGGGAAGCCAGCACCAACCAGGAGGGACACGGGTCCAGCAAACATGTGATCGCATTCAGCCTACCCAAGACTCTGTCCATGTCCTCCGAAGTCACAAGGTCAAACTCCTCCCAGCTAACATTCTCAAGACCTACCTCCGTCATCCCATCTGAACCCATCCAGTCAGAGTCCAAGCCCTCTCGAATCTGAGCAATTTTGTCGTGCAGATAGTGCACAAAGTCCTCAGCCCTACCCTGCAAGGGGTCTTCCCGCGCTCCCGTATGGAGAAGGGAGCGGGTCACCCTAAACAGGGCGGCTGAGTGGTTATCCGCAGACCCAATCAGAGCGGAAAAATAATTAAATTTTGCCGCTTTGATCGCCACTAGGTAGGTCTTAATATGAGACTTCACCAGTCTCATATTAAGTCAGAATAGGTCAGATTCGGAACGGCTGGCCCTCCAACCGCTCTCCAGGTGTCTTTTCCAGCACTTCAACTCTCTCAGCTCCTCGGAGAACCAAGGAGCCAATTGAGATCGGTGCCGAGTCAGAGGCTGCAAAGGCATGACGCGGTCCAAAGCCCCAGTGGCTGCCCTATGCCAGGCAGCCACTAGTTCTTCAGTCGAGTTGTGGGCCAGAGCCTCAGGAAGTGGCCCAAGCTCCCTCCGGAACCTCTCCGGGTCCATCAGGCACCTGGAACGGAACCATCTGACCGGTTCCATCTCCCTGTGGCGAGGGGTAGCGGTTCGAAGATCCAGTCAAAGGAGTGAATGATCAGACCATGACAAGGGCTGCATAACTAAATACCCTATTTCTAGATCATTCTGCCACTGACCAGACAAAAATCAGATCCAGAGTGTGTCCCCCCATGTGAGTAGGGCCTTGAACTAACTGGGTCAGGTCCAAGGCTGTCATGGAAGCCATGAACTCCCGGGCTGCCATTGATGTGTCACCAACCGATGGCAGGTTGAAATCCCCCACAACCATCAGCCTGGGGGTACTAACTGCCACCCTAGCTATCACATCAGGCAGCTCGGGCAGGGCCGCTGCCACGTAGCAGGGAGCCAGGTACATGATCAGCAGACCCACCTGCACCCCACGGTCGCACTTCACGAGGAGGGACTCACATCCAGCTATCTGAGGAACAATGGTCTCCCTCGGACATAGATCTTTGTTAATAACAACTGCCACCCCCTGCCCCTCCCCTGGGCCCTCGGCTAATGGAATGCCCGAAATCTGTGGCACATTTCTACAAGGGGCACCCCCCTTTCCGGGCTCAACCAGGTCTCTGGTATACCCACCAGGTCCGCTCCCCCCTCCTGAATAAGATCATAAATGAGGGGGGCTTTATTTACCACACACCTGGCGTTACATAACATCAGCCGGAGGTCCAGAGCCTGAGGATCTGAGCCACCTGGGACACGAGAAAGGCATTGGGGACCGGAGCGCGCAATCGCTCGAAGGTAGCGAGTGCGCATTCCCAAAACATGATATGGCTCCCTGCCACCCCCATATCTGCCCCTCCCACCTACAGTACTGATTGCACAACCCTCCCTGGATTGAGCTCCCGCCCCCTCCCACACATCCGACCCTGTATCCCTGGTGCCGTACCCCCTCGCAGGGCCCAGCCTTGACCCTAGATTTTAGCAATCTAGTCATGTTCTTCTCTCTGAACATTGATTTTGATCACTTTTATTATAAATTGACTTTGGATCTGCTCTTTACAGAAACATTCAATTTTGTTAATCTAGGCCTTACCTGATGCTAAACTAAAGATGAAATAGCATATTATCAAATTATTAAACTTGTTAAGTTCAACCAAATCCCCCCTGCCTATTTTAAATTATTTCTTTATTAATTTTAATGTATTTATTGTCTTACTGTTTTAATCTTTTACAGTATAATATTGTTTTATTGGATTGTAAGCCACCTAGAGTCACGTGACAGTGTGATGGGCGGTGAGCAGTAGTGAAATGTAAAATTTGTTGCTACCAGTTCTGTGGGTGTGGCTTGGTGGGGGGGTCATTTGACTGGGTGGGCATGGCCAACTTTTTAAAAAAACTTTTTTAAAGCATTTTTTTACTACTGGTTTGGGCGAATAAGTAGTAAAAATGCTTTTAAAAAGTAAAAAAAAGGTTCCAACAATCACAGCTGTGCCACGCGATCGTCGCAACCTTTTTTTTTTTTTTTTAGTTTTTTAAAGCATTTCTTTACTACCGGTTTGGGCCAATAAGTAGTAAAAATGCTTTAAAAAAGTAAAAAAAAAGGTTCCGACGATCACAGCTGTGCCACGCAATCGTCGCAACCTTTTTTTTTTTTTTTTTAGTTTTTTAAAGCATTTCTTTACTACCGGTTTGGGCCAATAGGTAGTAAAAATGCTTTAAAAAGTAAAAAAAAGGTTCCGACGATCACATCGCACAGCTGTGATTGTCGAACCTTTTTTTTTTTTTTACTTTTTAAAGCATTTTTTTACTACCGGTTCACCTGAACTGGTAGTTTTTATCACAACCGGTTCGCTCAAACCAGAGGGAACCGGTAGCATTTCACCCCTGGCGGTGAGTACATTTAATAAATAGATAACTTACAGAAGCATTTTGGATTGTTTTGGGTAAAAATCAGGACTATGTCATCCTGATATCTCTGCAGAAGACTTTGCACTGTCATTTCTTTTGTCCTTCTCTCATACCATATTCTACTTTCCAACAGGCCTACTTTGTCGGGAAGAAGGGTGTGAATAAGTACCTGCATGAATTGATCTGATGGCATTCTTCTCTGCCTCTACAAAGGAGACCAAAGCCATCATTACTCCCATGGTAGTAGACAAAGCCTCTTCACACCCATATCGTGAGTATATGGGCTTGCCTGCCTCACTTAGAACAAAGACATGCTTCTGATGCATACGCCAGGCCTCCATGGTTATATCTTCTTCTTCTTTCCCTGATAGGACTGAATCTCGACGTGAACCTTGTGGCGAGAGTTCCAAATTGCCCTCACTGTTCTGCCTTATCTCTTCTTCCAGGTCCAGTGCTATACCAGTAAGTTGTGTGCTTAGTTCACTGAAATCCTTGCTGATCTCTTCTATCTTGAGCTCATCACGTTGAGACTCTTCCCTCTCGCCTGGGCTCTTGGCTGCTGATTCTGTATTGTCTGTACCAGTTAGGTCCTCATATGACCTAGTGTGAACAAATATGGCTCCCTCTTGGCCTGCCCCTGATAAACAATACCAGGATAAGTGGTCAGTTTTTCAGAACAGAACTAGGCAACAGTTTAAGCTGTGACAAAGGCATCAGACAGAATGACTTGCAAACCTCATCAATGCATCGCCCTACATAAAATGGTAAATAAATCATAATTTTTCTTTAAAATTGTGCTAACATTTCTGTTTCTGTGCTTTGTGTTAACTAAGGAACAAGGGGTTACATTTAAATATTAAAGGTTAGAAGATTACATTTATTGTAATTAACATTTCATACCACCCTTAAATCATAATGGATGTTCTTCCTTTGGAAACAATGTAAAACAGGCAGATCTTTTAATTTTAATATTTGAATGTGATAACTAATACCTGAGCTCAAAAGTTTTGAATTCTTATCCAGGAACTTGAAATTCATTATGTCTTTCTTCCTTAAGTAGGATATGCATATTCTTTAGGTACATTTAATATATTAGTCAAAGAAGGCTGGATATATTAAGTATTTTAAAGCAGTCAAAGAAAAACTGAGCATTAAGTTCCCAATAATAATCTGAAATCAAGTTAAGAATCTCAGAGTATAGAGTCGTAGATTCACAGGAATATGGCCCATTAAGCAGAAACAGTGGTTTTCATTCTATGAAAATATATGGTTTGGGATTAATTAGTCTCAGAATCTGAAATCAGGATTATCTGCTCATGTTTTATTCCGGATGGTTTCCCTCCCACAATGCCATGAAGATATGTTTGTTTTGTAGGCCCCCCTTTTTTTCCTTGCATAATTGTTGATATTTCTGGACATGTTACTATTATTCTTCCTAATAAAACCCAGGAAAGTGACCACACTTTTTCATATCAGCCTGAGACTAGGATTTTGGGTAGCAATTTAGTGGATTTTTAGACTTGATCTAATCATACGTTTATAACTTTGCCATCTGCACCGGCTGGCCATCTATTTCTGGACCCAATACAAAATGTTCACACATTAACATATAACACTTAATCAGCTTGAGATCAGGCTGTCTGAACAGTTTCTCCAGTAAGGCAGAGCAGGTAGCAAAGACTTTTTTCCCGATTTGCAGAAAAAACGCCATCTTCTGAGAAATTGATCTGATATCTTTATTATTATAATGTTGACACAGGTAAAGCTATTACTTTCCTAGGCATTTAATGTATTGTTTTGGCATTTCTAATGTTAGTGTTTTGTTGAGATTTTAGTGTGACTATGTGCTACATTTAATATTTCTTTCTACACATTGCACTGGTTATGGTGTTCTCTATGCAAGTTTTTATTTAGGAATGGTTCTCATGTGGAAAATAGGTTAGTTGACTGGATTTTATAATTCAATTATAATAATTGCTACTTTCTGGCTGCTCTCCTATTCTTCTTAATAAGCTACCACTGTATAGAAATTCTTCCCTCTTACCAAAAAAGATATTAATTTAAAATATCAGAAAAAGAAGAAGAAGAAGGTCTTACTATCATCTAAAATAGAGCTGATAATAATGCATATCCATACTCTCTCTGAATATATCATATATATATATATATATATGAAAAAAGAAAGAATTGGATTAACAGGAGAGGAAAGATTAAGAAAGGTGTTGTTAAATGGAGTTGATGAGATTCTCAGAAAGGAATATTAAAAAAATAAAAGAATGTATGAAGTAGTGAATTGGCATGTTATAAACAACAATGGTGTGCGACAATAGAAAGGTAAGATGAAATATAGTGCATAGTTTTAGCTAGATTTACTTACATTACCTTTTCTTTATCTCATTCCTTAATTTCTTTGGCTCATTATTTCTTACCCCATTTCTGAGTTTGACATTGGTCTATTTATCCCCTCCCCCCCAAAATAATAACGTAATTGTATGTGTGTGTGTGTTGTGTGTAATAACATTATTCCATCCAAAATTGCACAATATATGTCTACTGTGACTCACCTGGTTCTGTTCCCTGGGTCAATCCTGGTGTTGGACTCTCTGACCTCTCGGACTGCTGTCCACCAGTTGGTGCCAAGGACCCATTCGGCACATCCTTCTTGTTATAAACATCCGCAGCCATTATTAGAAACTAGTGGAGATCTGCAAGCAAACAAACCAAGCCTACTAATCTTTATTGTCCTGATTGATTGATTGATTGATTGATTGATTTATTATTTATTTATTTATTTACAGATCTTATGTGTCTGCCTATCTCATGTAATTCTGGACAGCTCATAATAGTCCCTAAAATTTAGAACTTTCCAGTCTGAATTAATAATCAAGTACATTTGAGTTTCATTCTAGCATACTAACTATATAAGGGCACTGCAAGGGCAGAAACACGTTAGTATAATCAACCTTTTCAGGATAAGGAATATAAAACAGATCTATGAAAAAGTCTGGTTACACAGAACATTTTCCCATGTTAACTGATTTGTCGATCAGTTGCTTGGTTTTATATGAGGCATTGAACTAAATGTAAGGTCTATAAACTAAATGTAAGAGCTGTATTTGCATAATGCTCCGTGCTACAATGTGGGTGTCTGAATTTACATTTCAATAGGTTATATGAATATAACCAACAACTTCTTTAATGTCTTCTTTAATGTCTTCTGCTCCAAGTGTAAGAGGGTTGGCACAATATCCAGGAACAAACTGAGCAGCCCAATGATTTTCAGATGAAATGTCTTTCCTTTTTCCTCCTTCTGACCATTAGAAAGTAATGACGAAAAGTCCCTTAGCAACATCTTATAAACTTAAAACTAAGCAAGTCCTTGAATCCAACACATTTTCAAAAACCTGAGTGACTAATTCTGGTCAGACAGTCAACATGATTGGTTGAGATGATCAGATGTATTATAAGATACTGATCTAAACAATATGGTTGCACATACTTCCAACAAAAGTTTGGAAGAAATGCTTTGGATTTAGAGGAAACACAGGATCTTTCTGCCTTTTCCTGAAAGATAGGGGAATTGCTTTAGCCTCTTTGTCATCTTAATTTGTCTCTAAATCTTCCCTAGCTCCACTATATCTTTTTTGAGGTGCAGCAACCAGAACTGCACACAATTTTCCACCCATAGTCACATCATAGATTTATATTATGTTATAATGTAATAATTACAATATTGACACCTCTACTTTCAATGCCATTTCTTATTATTCCTAACTTGCTCTTTGCCTTTTTTTACAGCAGATGTACATTGCATTGACACCTTTGTAGAACTGTTCACCATTACTTCAAGAAAATTAATTAAAGCAATCATATCTTTTTGGGGACTAGCATAATAGCCTGAAAAAAATGTGTCAGCTTTAACAGAGAATGCTGTGTTTGTTCAGGGTCTAACACACTTCTGAAATATTTTTGAGTCCATATGTAAGAACATTAAGCAACCTGATTCTCTTGACATATTTTAGATTTTTATCCATATTAGCTCTAGCCTGTGGAAGAGAGTTACAGTATAATAATAAAACTATTTGTGCGCCACAGATAACATCTCTTTTATGTAGCACATGAATAATTTGGCACAGCTGCTTCTCAATTGCAAGCATTTTTTTCCTAATACTGTACTTTACTTAACCAATAGGAAGGACTTTTCCCACCTCCCAAATGAGGTAAAGATAGTTACAGCCATTATTGTTGGAAAGCTTGGATACTTTTAAAGATTAACATTTGTTTAGAAGTTTTCCAGGAAAATTTAATCCTTTTTATAATACCTCAATGGGATTTTTCTTCCTTTTCTCTCCTTTACTATCCAGCTACTTCTTTTCCCAACCTCATCTTTTTTTAAATTCAGTTTTGTTCCCCCATTTTTTCCCAATTACCTCTTTCCTTCACACCTTCTCCATACTGTTCGTTTTTTCTTTGTTGCTGTGTCTGGGAAGGGGAAATATATATGCATGTTCTTGTGTGTTTTCTATGGCTGAGAGACAGTAGTTGATATGCGCTACAGTGACTATACATTCTTTATTATAAATGAGACAATCCTTTATTTCAGAAAATTGTCTTTCAGATCTTTTACTTTCTCTGTGTGGTTTGTATACTGTAGTTTATTTTTTAGGGTTTTTTATTCTAATGATGACTTTGTCATCATTTTCATAATGATTATTTTTAGCAATAATGTTGCTATTGCTATTGATTGTTGTATGCCATTCAAAGTCGCTTTTTATGAGAATACAGTCATTTAAATGTGAGAAGTAAATAAATTTTAAATCCTTATGAACTTCTTTCAGATTTGGTCCCTTTTCAGGTTTGTCCTTTATTTTTTCTAAGAAAACACGGAGGCCATAATAATGCAGATGGGAAAAGCATTTGATAATTAATCTCATTTGGTAAATGAGATATCAATTTACTGGCAATTCTTTCTAACTAGTTAATACAACTAATTTTAATACCACATTTTTTTTGTACACCATACACGCAAACTGACACACAAACATAACAACACAAAAATCTGTAAACACATATACAAGGATATCAGTTGAACATATTTATCGAGTGGAGGGTCTCTGGGATTGGTTTCAATTGTAGATGGCAATCCTAAATTGGTAGGGAAGCTGGGCACTGCACAAATTTGTATCTGTGTTTATAATTAATTTTCCTTCATTTCAGAGGAGCCATTTTAATTTCAGGGTTGTCTTCTTCCTGGGTATCGTTATAGTTCTTGTTTATCTCTAGCCCTCTGTAATTCAATAAATTGTGATTAGTAAAGCTCCTTTTTCATTTTCTCAAGGCCAACTAGTGCCTTATCTAGAAATAAGTGTTCATTGCTGCAGGAGCTAGCCTGGACTTCATTCTTACCCTCATGATTCAGATTTTTGCTTCCCTCTTGACTTCTAGTGTTTATTTGCTTTTGAGGGTTCACAATTAACCCATTTATATTCTTGATGTCAGGGCATCTTTATAGAACTGGCGTACCAGGTAAATAGCTCCTACACACTTCTTTGTAGGGAGTTAGTTCCATGGACTGGTAAAGACTGTTATATGAAGAACAAAAATAAAATTCATTTATAAGACCAAATCTGGAGCTCTATTTAAACTGGTGTTGAACTTCTTCTGAAGTGTCATTTGAGTTCACAAGTGCGAAAGAATTAAGGCAACCATATCAGGGCAGCAAAAACACTGGGCAAGCACTAAATGGTAGCAAGGCAATGTAGACAATTCTAACTTTGCTACCATGTAGTACTTGTTTACATTTTGGCAACCCAGATATAGTAGCTTTAAAAAAATTCCCTGAATGACAGAATTCCACCCCCCCACCCCCCTTGAGTTGAAGTCCCCAATTAGACTTTGCTACCAGCAGTGGCAAATCAAGCCATTCTCGGTTCTGTACCTGAAAGCATTTCATTACTTTCTGTTAAACACAAACAGGCAACCATGTATACCTAAGAATATGAACTGATGCAAATTCTTCTTTCACTCTCAGTTTGCACTTTACACCCAAGCTGGTTACAGAGTTAAACTTGGAGGAGGGGGAGGTGCCAATTAAAAGTTATTCTATAAATATTTCAAAATAACTTTATTATTTTATAACATTATAACATTATTCTATTCTATTCTATTCTATTCTATTCTATTCTATTCTATTCTATTATTACGGTATTTGTCTGGAAATGAAAAGGATGCTGAAAACCAGTCAGTTGCTTGGTGATTTAGATTATTTGAAGATAGACAACTAAATTGCAGATTTCTCTTACATGAATTATTTGCTTTTTTGTACAATCTTTCCCTCCTAAATGATACTCTGAGTTCAAATTAATACATGGTTTGGGCATGTGTACTGATGTCGACCCTTCACTTTCCTTCCACCATGTGTTATCTTAGCTATCACTCTTGGAGAAAAATCTGTTGGAACACATCAGTAACAACTCAAACCTGTTTAATTTTCAGACTCTGGTAAATGGCTCAGATCTCATAAAAGTCGGACTTGCATGAAATTCAGTTAAGTTGCATTTCATTGTCATCTTCAACAACAGCTAAGTTTCAGTTGCTAGGACAGCGCTGAGAATATTTGCAAAACTGAAGACAACTATCAACAGGCCTAAACTCTGTATATTTCTTCCTGTTTATACTTTCAGTTCAGGAATATAAAGGGTACTTACTTACAGTTTTGACAGGAACAAGCTGTCGACAGAGAAAACGTCAGTGAAAGTCTGCTTCTCCGGTTGTGGATGAAATCTGAGCAGAAGGGGAAGGACGTAAAGCTCCCGGGGAAGTGGAGGAGGAGTTCAGTCAGCAGAGATCTCCTTAGGAAATTCTGCCTTTGGAGTCCAGAGCATGCCTTTCAATCTCGCCAACTGATTCTATCTTCTCCAGCAGCAGCCAGGAAAGTACTGTGCACTACCTACTTCTCCTTTTTCAAAGGTCACTTTCTCAATGCCACAGTTCCCAGTGCATCTTGGGGATTGTAGTCCACAATTCTGTAGTTTGCTGTGGGTTTCGCTTCTAATGAAGAAGTAAAAATGATCCACATCTGCCAACATTTGAAACGTAGATTTAGACTATTCAGAACTTATTGTTCTCTTTGGTAATGTTGAAAATATAATAAAAATTGATATGATATTAAATGTGCGATAAATGTATAATTTCTAATCTTAAAGGAACACTGAGAGGTCAAGATCTTTATCCCCATGTTATAGACAAAGGGAAGTTAAAAATCTAATACCACTTTTTATTTTGTTTTGAGCGCCATATGCACATTTTCTTAAAAAGAATTTTTTCTGGGGTTACTTCCAAAGAAGATATTCTTTAGATACTAAAAAGGAATTATTACAAAACCTCACACCAGTTAAAAGAAATATAATTGTGATATTCTATGTCAGTTTAAAAGGATTATAAAACAAGGCATCATCCTTTATTACAATTAAGCAGCTGAGTTTAAAATGCCTAAACTCTATTTTGTTTCATTCTATATCCTACTACTTGGTTTCCAATATGGCAAAGGATATTTCATTATTACAGTATTTTTTAAAAAATCCTAGGATAAGGCAAGCCTCTTCTGGATTTTCTCATCTAAGTCCAAGTTGGTATCCCTTTCATGATTCACTACTAGATATTATCTGTATATTTATGGGGTTGAACAGTAATTGCTTATGATATTTGTTATATAGCTTATTCAAACAAGAAAATAATCAGTTAATGAGTTTCAGTTTGGAAATAATGCTCTTTCCTCAAGGCATATTAGAAAGAACTGTGGTTAGTAAATGTTGTCAAATAACTGACATATATATAGGCTGTACAGAGAATAAAAATACATAAAATGGAAAAGATCTGCTAAAAAATAAAGACACAAGTAATATAAACATTTATGTTTATTCACCAGCTAAGATGTTGTCAGAAGTGGGTTGGTTACAATTAAGGTAAAATATAAAGTCTGCCCAAATTTAATAGAATTGTGGCCCCTTCCTTTGGTGTTTTATTATTTTAACTTTATCTGTAATGTTTTCTAATGTGGCAGTTGAAAAGATCATATTAATTCACACCTCAATTGCTGAGTTATCTAAAGTTTTCCAATGTTGGGCAATTATTAGGTTAGCTGCTAAAATTAAGTAGAAAATAAGTTCCTTATTTTTCAGCTTGAGTTTTGGTCCCATAAATAAGTGTGATGACTCTAACTCTGGGGAGCATTTACAGTAATTCTTTGTTCAATGATAATGCTTATCTCCCCCAAAAATTATGTCAAAAGGATATTGCTTCATATGATATACTATGATATTTTTATTATAGCAATAGCACTTAAGACTTTAATACCAATAGCACTTTAAGACTTTACAATGCTTTACATCCCTCTCTAAGTGGTTTACAGAGTTAGCATATATTGCCCCCAACAATTTGGGTCCTCATTTTACCCACCTCGGAAGGATGGAAGGCTGAGTCAACCTTTAGCCTGGTGAGATTTGAACTGCCAAATTGCAGGCAGCAGGCAGGCAGCAGAAGTGCCTGCAGTACTGCACTCTAACCACTGCACCACCATGGCTCATTATGACTTTTTTTTACATATAACTCATATTTTACACAGAACATACATATCTAATAACCCTATTTTCCCCACAACAAATTGACTGCTAATCATAATTCATATCCTTCTGCTTTTCTTTCTAATGATGTATTCATGAAGCGTATGCTCTTGGATTCTTCTCCTGGTTCCTGGTTCCATGTGCTTCCCATCTTCAAAAAAGAAAAAAATATGGATCCAGGAAACAATAGACCAATCAGCCTGACATCAATGCCTGAGAAGATCTTGGAAAAGATAATCAAACAATGGATCTGTGATCTGGAAGCAAACAAAGCAATTACTAAAAGCCAAGATAGGTTTGTCAAAAACAGTCCATACCAAACAAATATTATTGCTTCTTTGACAAAATTACTAAATGCTGTAGACATAGTATACTTGGACTTCAGTAAGGCATTTGATTAAGTAGATCACAACCTACTTCTTGGTAAGACAGGAAAATGTGGGATAGATAGCATTATGACCAGCTGGATTTGTAACTGGCTGACAAACTGCAGTCAATATGTAGTCTTAATAGAACTACATCTATATAGAGAGGAGTATGCAGTGGGGTACACCAAGGATCTGTCTTAGGCCCAGCACTCTTCAATATCTTCATAAACAATTTAGGTGACAGGATAGAAGGGGAATTTGCAGACAGCACCATGCTAGGGGGAATAGCCAACACTTTAAAAGATAGGCTCAAGATTCAGAAAGTTCTTGACACACTTGAACATTGGGCTCTATTCAACAAAATGCAATTCAGTGGTGAGAAAGGTAAGGTTTTACATTTAGGCAAGAAAAATCTAATGTACAGGTATAGAATAAGTGGCACCTGGCTGACAGCGGTAATTGTGAGAGGAATCTAGAAGTCCTAGTGGGCAACTTTTTAAGTATGAGCCAGCACTGTGCTGTAGCTGCCAAAAAAACCAAAGCAGTCCCAGGCTGCTTCAACAGAGAAATAATATCAAGATCACATGAAGTATTACTACTGCTATATACACTTGGGATACCGTGTCCAGTTTTGGCTACCATAATACAAAAAAAATGTTGAGACTAAAAAAAGAGTGTAGAGAAGAGCAACAAAGATGATTATGGGTCTGAAGCTAAAGCATTTGATTAAATGGTTGCAGAACTGGTTATGTCTAATCTAACAAAGGAAAGAACTGGGAGGGACACACACACACACACAGTAGCAGTCCTCCAATGTACGAGGCTGTCACAAAGAAGAGGGGGGGGCAACCTATTCTCCAAAGCACCTGAGTGCAGGACAAGAGGTAATCAATGGAAATTATCAAAGAGAGCTGCAACGCAGAACTAAGGGTAAATTTCCTGACGGTGAGAATAACTAACCAGTGGAATTGCTTGCGTTTAGAAGTTGTAGGTGTTCCGTCACTGCAAGTTTTAAAGAAGAGGTTGGAGAGCCATTTGTCCAGAATGGTATAACGTCCCCTGCTTGGGTAGGGGGTTGGACTACAAGACCTCCAAGGTCCCTTCAGCTCTGTTATTCTATATTCTGGTAAGATATGATAGCCTTAGCCTATCCTTATGAAAAGTTGCTCTTAAATAAACCTAAATTTTGTTTTAATTACAAAATAATCTGTTTCAATAGACATTGCTTAAATCAGATTTCTGTCCTTAGAAATGCTCAGAGAGATTTCAACCTCCAATATTTATTTATTTATTTAATTTAAAACATTTATAGTTAATTCATCTTTCAGACAACTTTGGGTGCCTCCTAATCAAAGATTTTAAAAAGGATACAAAATCATTAAAAAAACTAGTTAAATATATAAAACACTACTAGTTATAACATAAGACATATTTGAATGGTTTGTTGAACAAGGCACAGTGGTTGGGTTTACACGTGCCCATAATTTATTTATTTATTTATTAGATTTTTATACCGCCCCTTCTCCTGAAGGACTCGGGGCGGTGAACAGCCAAAATTAAAAAACATACAATATAAACAATTAAAATACGTTTAAAACAGAATTAAATCTAAAATGGCTCCCCAATTTAAAACGCCTTACCCATACCCCTATAAATAAGACGAATTTAAAATTTAAAATTTCCACATTTAAAAAGGGGGAAGATTTAGGCCAGGCCAGCTTGATAAAATAGAAAAGTCTTAAGCGCGCGGCGGAAGGTGCGCAGATCCGGGATCCTACGTATCTCCGGGGGGAGCTCGTTCCAAATCGTAGGTGCCCCCACAGAGAAGGCTCTCCCCCTAGGGGCCGACAGCCGACATTGTTTGGCCGACGGCACCCGGAGGAGCCCCTCTCTATGGGAGCGTACTGGCCGGTGGGAGGCTATTGGTGGTAGCAGGCGGTCCCGTAAATAACCAGGTCCTAAGCCATGGAGCGCTTTAAAGATGATAACCAGAATAACAATAAGAATAACAACATGGTTTAATGTGCTGAACATGCTAAATAAAAAAGCAAGGTGTGGTGGAAATGTGATGGTTTCAATTATACTTTGGGGCCCAAAGTATTGGTACTGTGTCACTTATTCTTGTCCTAGAAGGTGAAATTGCAGTTGCTTTTCTTTTTATACTGTACTCTTTCTCAATTTTAAAATGAAATATTTTTATTACATACCAATACCTACCACGGAGAATGGTATCCGAGTTAATACAACATGTTGAACCATCCACTCCAACCAACATTGGAGTCTAGCTTAAGTTTGGAGATAAAGTGATGAATCTTGATGAATCACTTCATAATAGCATGTGAGACACCCCAGACATACTAAAGATATAATTCCTGATGCCATTTTGTTCTCAGGATTTTTGTGATGTTTTAACACAATGCAGCCCACGTTTATAAGACCATGCCTTACAAAGTTTTAACATTCATAATGATGTTTGTAATGGTAGGCGTGGATAAATTAATTATATATTCAGGGATGAGATCTTTTGCAAATATTAGTCGAAGTTCAGTACTACATCAGATTAAGAGGCGATTACTGTATTTTCCCATTCTCAAATTATTCCCGATATAATGTGCTAGATCTTTGATGTCACTCCACGCATAATGTAGTGCCAAATTACATTACGCGTCGATTTAAAAGGCAGAAAGAAAACATTTAATACAAAACACCCTCAAGGGGCGACCCAAACGCGGCTTCTCAGGTAAATCGCGCAGCCCGCCTTAATTTTACACGGGTCTCTCTCAGGCGCCACCCAAGCCCCGCCCGCAAGACGTAGGGGCCGCGCATCACGTGGCAGGATGTACCGGAACTTCCGGTTCAGTCTCGCTCGGCGCTGCGGCTCTGCTGCGGCTCTGCTGAAGGCCCCGAGAGCGGCGGTGGATTGAGCCTGCCTGGTGGGCATTTATTCCTCCTCAGGATCCCCGCGCGCGCGGGTTGGTGTGGGGGGGGGGGAAAGGGGAGGAAAAGGGAGGCGGGGACGTGCTTAGCCGTTGTTCTCATCTCCTGCGTTGGAGCGTCGCCCGCTCTGGAGGTGGGGAGGGGCGTCGGCGGGGGGGGGGGTGGTGATGGAAAAGATTGGCCTGGGAGATACGATACGCGGGAAACGCGCTCGGCACTGACAGGGCCGCGGCCGAGGTTAAGTCTCCCTCACGTTCAGCCGTCACGCCTCGGAGCAAATAGAGAGGCGGGTGGCGGTTTTGCTTTGTTTTCCGAAGGTGAGTTGGATAAAGGGCCAAGAAAAATAAAAAAAAACAGTTCGGGAAGAGGAGGGTGTTGCTTGTTGGAAACGAACGGAAAGGGCGACCGGGTTACCTGAGAGAGGTTGGAATCGACAAGAGCGCATCTTAAAAGCTCTCATCTCTTCGGTTAACAGCGTCGCCGGAGGTCTTTTTCCCCGATTACCTTGAGAACCGCTGCTGCTATTACAGGGCCCAGATGTTACACCTCTGATCTGTGTGTTAGGCTAGGCTATTCCTTCTCCCGTGGAGGAGCATTGCAGTTTGAATAGGAGCAGTCAGTAATTTGAAGTAATGGTGCAGAAAGCGGAAACCGTTTTTCTTCTGTAGGAAAATCGCTGCTGTTGAACCTCTTGGTACAGAGCTGTTATATTTAACTGGGCTTAGTAGGGCTTCTTTGGACTCTCTAGTGAGGTTATGCAGTCAGACCTGTTCTGTTCATATCGTCAATTAAAATGCTTATTTGTCAGCCGGTTTCCCCTTTGTTGTACAGATAGAATTCCTTTCCAAAATGGCAACTGTTGCATGTATTTTTTTTTTTTTGGTGTGTGTGGAAAAATTAAGTGTTATGCAAATTTATGCCAGCGTCTTTGTATTAACGAGAATTAGAATGCTTGTGTTTCAGGTTGAAATAAATATATTTATTCAAATTGAATAAATATAACTAAAACAAATTAAAATAGTATCACTAGCACGTACTTAAATTTGGTTATTAAAATACTTGTCAAACATAAATTGTTTGCATTAGATCTGTTTTAAATACAATTGGTAAAAAAATTAATAATTGCTAGTAAGGCATGTCCGCAAATACATTTATGTGGTACAAAAAATTATTAGGTTTTGTATATTTGTTTCCCGTACAAATAAAGCTTTAATTGGCTAACATTTTAAAAAAATCGATATTGTTAAACATCAATGAAAAAAGATACTTTTCCCAGGTTTGTTGAACATTGAAAGCAATGGTGCTTCTAGGGAAAATTGCTTCAGAATCTAGACAACAATGCTGAAGAGATCTTATCCTATATGGCAAATCTTGTGCATCAGTTAGTGATAAGGAAGGGAATCCTGTGTATTTGTTGGGAAATGGCTCTAATGGAAGCTGCTGGATTTTTAGAACATCTTGGGTTTAAATTATAAAGACCTTTAATATTTTGAATTGGGTTTAAAAACAAACTGGAAGTCAATGCAAGTGGAAGAAAAATAAACAAAATATACTCCCAGGAGCCAAATCAACTAAAGTTGCTGAAGAGATTTTAGAAGTAAGTTTAGAATTTGTAGCAAGGCTAGTAGGCAATTTGTTTTTCTTGCCAAATACATTAGAATCTTGAGCTTGTTGTCGATGTCTTTATCAGATAATTTGGATGGGGGAGTGTCTAATCATAAAATGATTGCTCTAGTGAGGTTCCCAAAGCACCTGCTTACTAAAAAATTAAGCGATGAGGTAACTCCCATCTTCCTGTCTTTCAGTATGCTTCCTATCACCTTACTAGATTTCTAAACAAAATACTGAGCTGAAGTTGCCCACTACTTTCATTTTCTAAAATGGGTATTGTAATTATAAGGGTTCAAGGAGATTTTTTGATAATAAAAACGATACTAAAAACAACCCTTTCTTAAAGGGTTTTTTTTAAAAAAGGAAAAAGACAATGATACAGATAGTCCTTGTTTAGCAACTACCTCATTTAGTAACTGTTTGAAATTACAGTGGTGATAAAAATGTAACTTTACTATCAATCCTCATTTATGATCTTTGCATAATGCAAAGGAAAGCTGAAGTATGTTCATAAGCATTATCATGCTTTCACTTAGACTGGTTGCTGCCCCCAATTGGGTTGCTAAATAAAATTACCTGTTTGGTATAATACAATGTTTTCTGAGGAAACAATATGGTTTTTAAAAAATGAACTTATTTAAAAAATCAATTTTGTTTGTTTCTCCAGAAAACATGTTATCAAGCAGGAAAATTTCTTCATGCAAACAAGCCTAACTTTCTTAGGGAAAGTTTCCATTTCACATCACTAAAAATATCTGGTAGGTGTTTATAGACCCATTTGTGCCCTTGGGCCCCGAAGATCTGATCGCCCATCTTTAGAATATTGTGGAAATATCTGTTTGGTGTCATCAAATATATTTTTCAATAGCTATATATGCTTTTGGGGGGAAAAGTAAAATATTTCTCAACTTTAGGAACATCACGTCCACAAATCTGTAAACTGAGACAGCCCGAATAGCTGTTTTTTGAGTGATTTTCTCTAAGGTGTGGTTCTATTCAAGGGATCAATGTTAATTTTCTTAGCTTTTGTTAAGGAAGATTAAAATTAAATGTGTTTATTTCAGTTAATAGTAATGAGCTGATGAGAAAAAAAATCTGGGTCTATCTAATGTAGTAATGCTTTTGAATCTCTGAAATAATTTTCTCATTGTTACTTAGACTCTGATTATTTTTCCCCTTGCTCTGCTTCTTGTGCTCTGTATTCCAGTTCACTTTTTCTATACTGAATTTAAGGAGATTTTGGATTCTTTGTTCTAGGAAACAGTGTACTTTGTGTTAAAAGGAGAATGTATTTTGTGAAAAGAAATAGTGTGCATTTGTCACTGAATTTTACTCAGCTGTGTAGTCTTACTGCTTAAGGATTTTTTTTCTTGGTTAGAATGTGATCTTATAGGCAAGATAGAATGGCAAACTAGCTATCTTTCGTGAAGAAGCAAAAATTGGAGGGGAAGAAGTGTTTACCATATTTGCATTTACTGGATATAAAAGCTATTTGATATATATACTGGTCTTCAGTTTGATTTGGTGATAATAAGAGTATAAGCAAATGTATCTGAAAACCACTAAATTGGAGAGGCTGATATAAACACTGGAAGAAGCCCAAAAGATGGTGTGAGAAATATGCTGGTTTGTTTTCTAGGTTATATCTTTTAATATACAAATCAGCCATCAATAGCTATAAACCACAATTACACACCATTGAAAGGAGACAATAAAAAAGAGGCAACAAAAATGCCTATCCTCTCCAGCAAACAAACAAGCAGAAATTAATATCCTAATCAAGGAACTACCAAGGGAAAAAACACCCACCCCCAACCTACTATATATAAACAGGCACAAACCCCACAATCACAAGCACTGATGATATTACCTAGTCAGGTAATAAAATGTCTGCAAGCAAATAATCATGCTCAGAGAGCACCAAGGACTTTTATATCTTTTAATTAGAGCATTCTGAATAAGGTAAAACAATGTAATTGGTACATAAGAATCTTTTGGAATCAATTCAGAAATTTCTCTGGTCACTTTCAGAAGTATGTAGTGGTGAATAAGATGGAACCCTAGAAACTCTGAATTAATCTTATTTGAAATACTGTAAATTCTCAGAATTACTTTTAGCTGAGTGTTTCAAGAAAATATGAAAGTTTTTAAATAGGTTGATCAGCTAACATGCCTGCTGATTTATATAGCTTACTTAGGATAATTACATTTTGTTCTTGTTACTCTTCTATTCCATAGATTCTTCAGAATTTGCTATCTGGTGTCTGATATCTTGGAACAAAATGTGGGGACACCCTCATTCAGCTAATAGAATGGGTCCTTTCCGGTAAGTATTTCAATATGAAATATGTTTATTGATGATAGCAGTCCTACATTGACATTGTGCAATAACATTTACTACAACTGGATAAAAGTAGGATGGGGGATAGTTGATGGCTCTCCAGAAAAGAGATAAATGAAGGGAAATTGCATGGAACATCATAGAGGAGAAAGACCTAGCTGAAATGTTGAACAGGAACAATCTAAATGTCAACATTTTGCAGGTGGTTCTGCTTATGTAGAGTAACAGTAAATTCAATTCTTTATGTGCATAGCTCCTTATGTGCTTTAAATAGCACTTTCTCTTCATGGGATTAATAGAATCCAAGAATTTAGAGAATTACATATAATGTTAAAAAATGAAAAGTTACATGTGACCTGGATTCTAGAAGTGTTTATGGCTGAAAGATTCAAAGGAAACAATCAATAGTTTAACATATTGTGTTATTTGGTTTGTCTAGAATGGCTGACTTTTTCTCTATGAATATAATTACACCTTGTGCAACTCAAAGATGTGATGCCCTTAATAAAAATGCAATCAGAATGCTCTTAGAGAAATATAACTATGCTAGTGCAGTTTTTAAAATTGTATTTAAAAAGATAAGAGAGACATTTAGAATATTCTCTGCCATGCCATTAATGGTATTGTATATTATAGATATCTGAAACCTTTTCTGAGTTGCTTTTGGTCTTAATGTGCAAAGAAGCGTTTGCCTAGTTTTAGGACATTATGCATGGTCAAATAAGAATTTCATTTTTATATGATCAAAGAGCAATTAGTTTGACATAAATTTGAGGCTACCTAATACTTTGCTATGGCTTTCTGGTTTTTACCTTACACTATTATA